GTAAAAACTGCTTGTGGGTTCCATGCTATTCCAAAGGCAAGGCCTTTAGGCCTCCTGGTAGAGGACACCAGGAAAATAGCACAGGCAAAACCACATTTTGTTCCCAGCCACTGAAAGCCCTGGAAATGCCAGGGTAGTCACTAAGTGGCAGGTGGGAAAATCTCTCCTCTGGCTTCCCTGCACTGGGCTTTGGGTATCAGGATTTGAGTGTCACTGTGTATTTATTCCACCAAGTGCCTGCACATACAACTGGTTTCTGTATCTTCAGCTGTGAATGTTTCAGTGCTTGCTCCTCTCTCTTTTATATCCTTGTACTGTACAATTCCAGGACAGTGCTCTGTTCTTTCCATTCATACTCATTCTTGCAAAGAAAAATCTCACAGCAAGAAATGGGACAGGCAACAGAAAAAGGAAGAGGAGAAAGCAAGCAAGCAAGCAAGAAGCTGTATCCAGTTAATAAATGTTTTGTTGTGAGGAAATGATTTATCCATTTGTCTCAAAGTTGTTTTCCTGTTTGTCCAGTAGTACTTAGTTTGACATTTCAAAAGTCCGGGAGAGGTCAATAATTTCACTGAGCCTCACAGCTAGAAATTAAGAACATGAATTTGAGGCATCCCTTCTAAACCAGAAGACAATTTCCATGGCATAAGAGGTGACAGAATTTGACTGCGAGACCAAACAATGTGCAGAGGGCCCAGGACTTGAACTTGCCAATGTGAGAGTTTCAGATAAACCAGCTGAGAACAAACCTCTTTGTGCAAGAAGCAGGTTAATAAGTTCTTTATGTCCTTCTGGGACAATTTCCTAAAGTACACAACTCACCTTCACAGCAGAGGTGCTGCTTAGCTGAGCCTGCAGGGAGCTGTTCTGAGTTACTCAGGTACTTGCACAGTGCCCACCCTGCCAATGGGGCATCCCAGGAAAGGGCTCCTGCGGCTGCCTTCCAATCTTCCAGAAGCAGATTGAGTCTTCTTTCCCTTTTTTGTGCTGCATGTTTTGCTAGAAATTAGAAGTCAGAGAAGTGCACATCACCCTCAGAACAGAGAATGGGCGGCTACTGTGAATTCTTAATTACTGTTGGATTTTGTTCTGCAGTTCAGGCTAAAAATGCAGTATTCAAACACCCAAAAGCCTTTCCCCTCTCTTTTCTCTGACGGGAGTGAGTTGCCCCATCTCAGACTACAGAAGTTCAAAGCAAGGTATTAGCTCCCTGAAATATTGCCTTAAGAGCTTGGTTTCTTTCACTTTAAAACAAGCTTAGAGACTATTTTTGAAACAAACAGTATGGAATTGCTTGGATGTTGGTTCATTCCCAATAGTTTGGAGACTTCTTCAATGCAGCAGCTGCTGCTTGCACAGGAGGAGTCTTTCTTGGGCCATCAGCAGGACCCAAGGCTTTATTGTCCAAGACAGTCTGGGGGGAGTTATTAACTTAAACAAAAACTACATTTGTTTCCAAAGCACATCCAACATAAGCATGATGCTGGCAGAACACAGGGCATAAACTGACAGGTCTCTACTAGATTAGAAGCCCAAGAGGATTTTCTAACTCCAGTAGGCATCAATGTCTTACTGAGAAGGCACTGTATTTGAAGAGAGAAAAGCCTTCCTTCCCATGGTGAGGAGCTGTGAATCACCGGATTTGGTATTTCAGCAGCAATTTCTCCGGACACAGGCTGAATTTTTTTTTTTTTTTTTCAGTGAAGGTATTTACAAGCAAGCTTTCTACAAAATAAACAACCTTTCTATAAAAACTCTGTTAATAGTTTCTTCTTTCTGTGTCCCACTGTTTGTTTTCCTGGTTGGCAGATCCATCTTTCCATATTTGACAAAGAAAGATACTCCCATGTTCATGCATTGGCACAGATTTTATAATTTTGATCCAACCCCACTCAAAGCAGGTCTTATTAGACCAGGTTTCTCAGACCCTTCTCCAATCAAAATTGATGTATTTTAACAGGGACCTGAGGCAAAATCAAGCTCTGAGGCTGGAATTTAACCTTGGCTTACTTTTGTATAGAGAGGGTAGATATTTCACAAAATAAAAAAGGTAATTTTCTGTGAGAGACAGCTGTAGTTACAAAGGCATTGGTGGTTTCTCTCCTGAAGTCAGAGTTTCATTTTCACACCAGCTTTACAGACATCATATCCAAATTCAGCAGAAGGCAGGGCCCAGCGTGTGGCTCTGAATAATCTTCAGTAAAACACAAACCTGCCAAAAATGTACAGAGAATTAGGTACTCCATGGTCTGTACTTCTTCACTGCATGTCTCCATTCTGGAGTAACTTCATTTCCACTGATTATCTGTCCTGACAGCTTTGGGAGAATCCACCCCATCAGCCAGTTTATCCAGGTACCTACAGGCTAAGGTCAGCAACATTGGTGTCCCTTCCCATGACTTTGTTTTTTATGGCAAGCTAGGAATGCCATGTTGGTGTCTAGGAAGCTAGGAATGACAGTGATTTTTAATTGCTGATGAAGAGTTACATTTTATTGTTCTGTTTCTAAGCCTCTGGGCAGCTGTGCCTATTTTCTCTTAGAATTTCAGCTTTGGTGTCCAGTGTTCCTGGACAGAAACCACACCTACAAATGGTCCTTTCAGCAAGCTCGTCCAGTTCAGACATCTGCTGTGGTTTGTATTTTGCAAACTACATGCAAATAAATATTACCATGCAGTACCTAATTGTGCTTTTTTGGAGTACCATGTGCTGCTCAGATAAACAGGTAATAAACAGTTACATGTCTCCCTTTATAGAACCACCCTTTGCTAAGCAACTGATGCCTATATAACTTAGATCACAGTAACAAGGTGCTTATTTAGCTTGAGTTATAAGAGACCAATATAACCTGATGTATCTATATAACCTGCTATCAATATAACCTAAATCATGACTTTTTATATCTATATAATCTGATACCCATATAACCTGAATCACAGCTTTTGATACCTATATGGCCTGAGTCATAACTTTTATATCTATATAACCTGATATAAATCACTTTTTATATGATGTAATGGCTAGTATACGGTTAATGGGTTGCTTAATGCTGAATAGACCAAAAAACCAAACCAAACCAAAACAAAAAAAACCAAAAAACCCCCAAAACAAAACAAAACCAAAAAAACCAAAAACTAAAAACAAACCAAAAAAAACCCCACAAAAACAAACAAACAAACAAACCCAACCAAAACAAAAAAACAAACAAAAAACCCTCAACCTCACCAGGTGGATAGTTTCAAGATAGATAAGTATAGTACTAACAAAAAACTGGCAAGTGCAAAGCCAATTAGCCACAAAACAAAGAATTTAGACCAGTTAAGACCAGACAGACCAAGGAACAGCATAACTGTGCAAGCTCCAAAGACAAAGTCGAAAAGTTCAGATGCAAGGAAGACTTTGGAAGCCTTCATCAAAGACCCCTGCCGACCCCCAAATTGGCAAGGCCCAAGCACAGTGCACAACAACTATTTATAACCGTGAGATCACACTATGTCAATGGGTTCCAGCACTTACAGGATGATGTTTTAGTGACACAGTAACATTAAGCAATAGTTACTGTATGTTGTAGCGTGTTTTGTATGCTTTTCCAATGTTAAGTTGTAAATTGGTTTGTTCCATGTACCCCTTTATTTGTAAAGGTTCTCTCCTTCCTCACGCATCCTGTCAATCCACTTTTCTCCCCCCTGGGAACCCAGGTATCTGTTCCTTAGTCCCTCCCTGGTGCCCTGTCCGTCACTCGGCGGCCCATCCCTTTCCTCTAGAATCTTCCAGCCAGGGCATCGAGTGATTGGTTCGGGGGCCAGGGCCCCTCCCCAGGCTTTTCCCTGTTGGCTATTCTGCTGTATCAGTCACCCTCACCCCACTCCCACCTTTTCTCTGATTAGTTGAAGAGCAGACTCCACCTCTGTATCCTCCCCTCTTTAAAAGTCAGTGTCAGATGCCCGTTGGGTGTCTCCAGCTGTCAGTCCTTGTGGAGGTTGTGAGCTGGTGTTGCACTGCAGCTGGAGTCCATCTCTCCAGCCCCTGCTGGGTAGCAGCCTTTTCTCTGCAGATCCTCGTCCCTCAAGGCAAAAGCCGTAGGTGCCTTCCTGACTGGGGCAGGGAACGGGAGAGTGTCCCAGTGCTGCTGGTGGTGCTGGCCACAGCTGGCAGGGACATCCCGAAGGGGCAATCGATTTCTCCTTTGAAGCCAGCCGCCGCTGCACCTGTATAAATACACCGCTGCACTTGACATAGGGTGAGTTAGGAGGAGAAATCCCCCTGCCCTCCAGCACTGCATAAACAAATACCTGCTCTACAGACACCAGTCTATGTGCTTCTATTTCCAGCCTATCTTTCGGGCATCACAACAGAGAAGTTTGCATGTCATTGCAGTACGGCTGGTTATGTGGAATTTTGGGGAGAAAATTTGGCTTGCAGCTGTTTACCTCCATGTGGGCGTTTGATTTGACAGCCATAATTTTCCCATGCACATTGTGTTACAGGACATCAGAACTTGGTTCTTCATTAAATCTGACACTGTAGCATCACATTTTGCCTTTCCATGTACCATCTGGAAAATACATTTCCATGCTGGATTTTCCAATGAGGAAAAGCAGTGTAACACTCAGGAAGTCACTGAAATGGCACCAGAGCTCAAGAAGCTTTTGGACGATACCCTCAGGCATAAGGTGGTGACTTTCGGAAATGGTGCTGTGCGGGACCAGGAGTGGGACTCAATGGTCCTGATGGGTCCCTTACAATTCAGCATTCTGTGGTTCTGCAAATTTTCAACACCTGAGCATCACGTACAGCTTGTTGCCCGCTTGATTAAATCTCCCTGCTTGTCGATTAGGCCTGAAAACACACAAAGACCAAACATCAAAGAACGCCTTTTCTTAAGGAAATTTCCACTTTCCTAAGGAAAGTTCCGTTTCCCAGCGAGGGGGCTGGCTTGAGGGGACGGACTACATTTCCCATGAGGCTCTGCGGGGCGCGGCACAAATGCGTCACCCGCGGTGGCCGCGGGAAGGCGCCCGGCGCGCCCCCAGCATGGCGGCGCTGCGGACGCTGCGGGTGGCGGCGCGGCGGAGCCCGGGGCTCGGCCCGGCGGGGCTCAGGGCACTGTGGGGAGGCCGAAGGTACCCGCAGGGCACAGGGTGGGGGTGGTTTCTGGCCTTCTCTGCGTGCCGGGCCTTAACCGGACCGTGGAGGTCATTTAGCCCGACACCCCCTGAGCAAGTCCCTCAGGGTTTGTCAGGCGGATTTGGAATGTCCTTGGGGAAGGAGACTCCGCAGGTTCTCTGGGCAGCCAGCGCCCACCGAGATGCACTGCTGCCGGGTGCGGTGGTGCAGGGTTGGAGCCTTTAGAGCTGTTACTGCTTTTGTTAGGAGTGGGAAGAGAGGGATTTCACGGAACGAAAAACAGTCCCTCTGTAACATTTTGCGTGAAACCACGCATGGGTTGTTGACGAGGGGCATATGAGAAGGCAAAATTTTTTGCTTAAAAACTAGTAGTGATTTTTTTTTTTTTATTTTTTTTTTTTTAAACATATGGGCACTGATTTTCTTCTGTAGTAGTGGTTATTTTCTGATATGCTTTTTATTCACAGCAAATTAGAAAATGGAGCTGTGACTCCCAAAAGAAAAGAAGTAACTGATCTTGTTAAAATGTTGTTTTCACTCAGACCAGTGAAAGAAGGTGGGTGGGTGATAGCTCTGCAGAGGCAGCCTGTGTGGGGAGCAGCACTGGGGAAAGCCGGTGCACTTCTGGCTGACAGACCTGACGAGTCCCTGGATGTGTGGAGTGTCTGGAGTGAGTGGTTTAAAACACCACGAATACAAAAATGCTCTGACTCTTGAGTAGCCCAGAGGCTGAAAATGTGTTCTGGTGCCAGCAGGAAGGAGGAAAGAGAAGTGGAAGCAGACGGAGCAGTTGCTGAGAAGGAGGAGAGGAGCGAGCCCAGCCTGATCCGCCCGCCGCCACGCCGCCGGAGCTACGTCCCGCCCGAGGACCTGCAGAGCTGCCTCGAGTCCCACGTCAGGGAGGTCTTCGGGCCCGCTGTTCCCGAGGACTGGCAGCAGGCTCCCCTGCAGGAGAACAGGCTGAAGCATCGCCTGCTGGCCCGGCTGGCGGCAGAGCTGGGACACGCCGTCCCTAACTCGCAGCTGCACCGCATGCGCCGCGCCGGGGACGTGCTGGGTTTCTATCGCAGCCCCGTGAAGGACGGCTCGGAGATCGATGAACTCGCGGCCGCAGAGCTGCCCCCGAACCTGAAAATCATCTGGCAGCAGTGAGTCCCCCCACAGAGCATCCCTGTGCCTGGCTGGTGCTGCAGGGCAGCAGCACGGCCCTCTGGTTGGGGTGAGATCTGTGAATTTCAGTAATAAAGGTTCACCGTGCTGTGCTCAGTTTGGCTGTTCCTGTTCTGCTCTTTTTTCCCCGCAGACCAGTTCTTGTGAGGCACTGGTGCAGCGTGGGCACTGCCAGCTGCCCCCTGCCCCTTTTTCCTGCTGCTGGGCACTGACAGGATCCAGTGAGGGTCAACAAGGGGGCCATCTCCACAGTTTCTGCTCTGCACCTCTGTGTTGCTTTTGGCTGGGGTAGAGTTGATTTTGTTCCCAGGGGCTGTTATGGGGCTGTATTTTTGACCTGTGCTGAACTCAGGGCTGATAATACTGAGATGTTTTTGCTGTTGCTGAGCAGGGCTTGCACAAAGCCAAGGACTTTCCTGTTATTCTTACTGCCGCACTGGTGAAGGGACTGGGGATATATGGGAGGGGACACAGCCAGGACAGGTGACCCAAACTGACGCAAGGGATATTCCAGACCATACGGCATCAGGCTCAGTGTATAAAAAAATGGGGGAAGAAGGAAACAGGGGGCATGTGGAGTGATGGCATTTGTCCTTCCAAGTCACTGATGTACAATAGAACCCTGCTCTGTTGGAGGTGCTGAGCACCAGCCTAACCACGGGAAGCAGGCTGTTAATTCCTTATTTTGCTTTGCTTGTTTGTGCAGCCTTTGCTTCCCCTATTAAACTGTCCTTATCCCAGCGCATGAGTTTCACCTTATCCCAACACGTGGGTTTCACCTTTCAAAGCTTTTACCTTTGTGATTCTCAGGACCATGGCATTGTGCTTCCCACTGCTCCCACTGTGGCTCACAGAGATCTTTTGCTTTCCTTCTGTTTTGCTGCTGTGAAAGCCAATGTCTATGTGGCCACTCTGGGGATGTGCTTGGCAAGCACTGGAGCACAGATGCCAGGCTCTGGAATGCTTTTTCCAGGGCTGATGAATGGCACTGTAGCTGTCTGCCTGGCTGGATTTCTTCGTACTGTTCCTGGTTGGCCCAGATCTGGCTGTCAAAATAATTGAAGGAGTTGCCAACAGGAGTGGTGTGAGGATTAGTCTGTGCTAGCCTTCAGGATGCTGTGATCTTTCCATTTCCCTTTATCAAAAGGAAAAAACAAAATAAGAAAATTTGTTCAATTGACCTGTTTCGTATCTTACCATATGTCAACAAGAGCTCTCATGGAATGAAACACTCAACATAGCCAAAATTTATGTTTTCTTTCCAGAATATGAAACTTGGTGGGTTTTATAACACATAATTCAGTTGAGCTTTACTTCTTTTCCTTATTTTTACTTTCACTTGAAAACATCAGAACACTGCGTAATTGCAGTGCAGTGTTTTCTAGGTAATCCATGAATTTGTGGAACATGCCACCAGACTTTACAACTTTACATCCCTGATTTGTGGATCAGATGGGATACATTCTCCTTAAGCATCCAGACAGTTTCTATTTAAAGGAAAAAGTAACCATTTAATTCTTGTCTCTGGAGATCAACTGTCTGCTTTTAGCTGTCTGCTTTTTTGGTGTTTGGTTTTTTGTTTTTCTTTTTTTTTTTTTTTTTTTTTTTTTTTTTTTTTTTTTTTTTTTTTTTTGTTTGTTTTTTGTTTTTTGTTTTTCTTTTTTTTTTTTTTTTTTTTTTTTTTTTTTTTTTTTTTTTTTTTTTTTTTTTTTTTTTTTTTTTTTTTTTTGTTTGTTTTTTGTTTTTTGTTTTCGTGAGTTCACACAGAAATTCCTGTACATGAAAGAACAGTTTATATTGTAATCTTTCCAAAAGTACAGTCACAGAAAGCAAAACAAATCTTCATGAAATTCTGAAGAAAAAGGTAGGTATTTCGCATAGCATTTTCTATTTCTGAATAGAAACAGAATTTCTGAATGCTGTCAATAAGTCTGACTGTAATGATTGGATCTCGTCTTCCTGGAGATTTGACACCCTTAGAAAAAGACAGATCCTGGCAGAATAATTTATATCTATACAATTGTGGATTCTTTGGCGCTCCTTTACCTCTGTTGGCAAATGGAATAGTGAAGTACCAGGAACACAGAATTTACTCACTGGTTCTTCAGGCAGTCAGATTATAAAGGAAAATATAGACAAAGGTCATAACCTCATAATGGAAAGCTGGACAAGGCCACCAAGCCTCACACCTTCATTTCCCTGTCTCCTGAAGCTGGAAGTTTCTTTTCTTTCTTCCCCTGCTAACCAGGTGGCAAAATCCATTCCAGAACCAGTGACAGGATCTTTTCAGTTCACAGGTCTAGAATCAGAGCAAGGCAGAAAAGCCAAGCGTTCTTAAAAAAAATAAAAAAACCAGTAAAGAGTAGAAAAAAATGGTCTTCATTTGCTACTAGATGTGCCTGGAAAAGGGGAATGTTTGTTTTGTGTCAGCTGGATGAGGAATTGGGCCAATATCAAATTACTTTGGAGGATGGAGTTCAGCCGGTTTCCTGTTGTGTGTCCATGAAATGGATTCATCTGAGAGTACTGACCACGGCATTAGCAGGTGGATGAAAACAAAGATAGATAAAATTAACTTTGCCTGTAATTGTAATCAATTACAGAGTCTCTAAAATTTACAAACCGCAATGAAGTATGGAAATTTAATGAGCAAACATATAGTTTACAAGGGATGTAAGAGTCAGAGGTCACAAACAGTACATAGAGGTCTTTGTTCACAGTATGTGCATCTGATGCTGCTGTCTTCTCTTTGGATTTTGTTTGGGTTTTTTTCCTTTTTTGAAGATATTTGAGCAGACAGCTGTACACAGATGGCTGGCTGAGAGAAATGAAAACTATCTTGCCTTCTTATTTTCATACCTACAACAGACAGTGGGGGAAAAAGAAAGGGAAAAAATGGGAGAGCAAGAAATACGCCAGATGAGGTTCTAGTATGTTAACGTGACGGAAACTGCAACAAGCGTTGACATTTTGGCATTCAGATTTTGCTTTCACAGGGGTGTACGTGATGGAACGTGAACGTTCTTCACTTTTTCCTAGGAAAATATTCACTATGAAGTGTAAATGAAGACCAGAGTTTTTCTCTACATTGGCTTGCCAGAATGTCTGGATTTGTGTTTGAAAGGGTTGGTATAACCGGGTTATCCTTGGGACAAGAGAGCTCTTTGCCAGCCACGCCGACCCCGCCATTCCCCGACATTCCACACAGCGTCACGTGACGAGCGTCATGGACGAGCGGGAAGGACTCCTCAGGGGAACAGGTCCTGGCAGCTGCACGGGCGTCCCAAAAAACTCCCCCGCGGCAGGGAGGCATCGAAGGGGGTCCCGCCGAGCTTGGAGCGGAGTTTCTCCGCGTTTCGGTTCGGGTTCCCGGCTCGGTGACGGGCGGAGCGCAGGGGGACCTGGCGGAGCGCGGCGGCGCACGCAGCTGCCAGGACCTAGCCAGGGTGCAGCTGCGCATGCGCGGCCTGCCCTCCTTTTCCTCATCCGCCGTATCTCTTTGCTCATCCTGTTCCGGATATTTTTCCTTCTTTCCTTTTTTTTTTTTCCCGCCCCTACTCCTCTGGCGCTGCGGCCATGGGGAAGCTGAACGTGGTGATGCTGCGGTACCTGTCCCGGGAGCACTTCAGGGTGCTGACGGCGGTGAGCGGGCAGCGGGCCGGGCCGGGCGGGCGGTGTCACAGCCCGCGGCGGGAGGGACCCGCCTCCCCTGGTGCCGCTGCCGCCCTGGGGCTCCGTGCTGGCCCCTACTGGGGAGGGCCCGGTTCGGGCCGGTATCTCCTTCGGCCGCCGGGCTGGGGTGAATTGGGAGGCAAAGGGAGTTCTTGGGGATGCTTGGGGGCTCTCTGGGGATGCCAGGGGAGTCCCTGGGGATGCCCGGGTGGTCGCAGACCCGTCACGGTGAGGCAGCATCCCTAGCGTTTCTGCTCTTTGCTTCCCGTGACTGGGATTGAAATCTAATTAGCCACTCGTGTCGTGGCTGGCACTGGAGAACTTCTCTGGGTGGGTTGTACATAGACTGCCAAGGAGCAGTGAAGCAAGTGGAAAGGTTTGTTAAAGCTTAAAACGTAGAAAGTTAAGCCTTAAAATTTGTAGTCTTTAAAAATTGCATATTTGAAAAGGGATTTTACTCTTGAGCAGGTTCTGTACTTCACTGTACATCAACACAAGGCTGGCAAATCTGTTTTTAATTACTCTTTTAGGTGGAAATGGGCATGAAGAACCATGAAATAGTTCCTGCTAGCTTAATTTCTTCCATTGCCAGCCTTAAACATGGTGGCTGTAATAAAATTTTGAGAGAGTTGGCGAAGCACAAACTTCTGGCTTACGAACGAACTAAAAGTGAGTTTGAATTCTGTGTTGGACTCCCTTTCTTATCCTGTTCCCAGTGCCTCACAGTGGCACCTGCCCAACAGGTTGGGATGTTGCTTTGCCTTTTCTTGGACTCAGCCTGGAAATGTGGGTTTGTGCAGCACCAGGTGCTGTGTCTGCTTGTATCTTTAGAAGTGAGAGACAGAAAAAGATGAACAGTTAACTTCCTTTTTTGCTCAGAATAAGGCAAAAAGAATCATCAGTTGAAGCAGTGTTCAAGTGCGTGTAGGAATCAACCCAAGTGAGTGATAGCCTCACAGTTCTGGAACAGACTGCGCAATCCTTGGACATTTACTGCCTCAGGAGCAGCTGCTAAAGCCGTATTTGTTATCTGCTGTATGACAAGGTTGTGCAGGCCTTTCACCATTCCCTTCAGCCTTTTAGTTGGATCTGGCCCTGCGAATACAGTGGGGATGTCTGTGTTCTCCCTTTTGTCCCAGTTCTTCAGAGGATTGAGGGTTGCTCCAATCCAATTTAAACATCTTCACCATTCAGTCAAATGGGGTTGGTAAGAGCCAAGGGGTGAAATATTACTTGGGCGCTATGTACTGCAAGAAACAAGACTAAATTGAGATTTATTTTAAATGTGATGTATACATAACAAAGAGTGAAATGTATTTTATTTTTGCCCAGCTGTCCAGGGTTATCGGTTAACTAATGCAGGATATGATTACCTGGCTCTGAAAACTCTTTCTTCCCGACAAGTCATCAGTTCTGTGGGGAACCAGATGGGTGTTGGCAAAGAATCAGGTAAACTAAAATAACATTTAAAATAATTCTGAAATACTGCAAATATTTTGCTAGAAACTAGGGGAGTTTTCGTTGGGATAGGCAGATTAGTTAATCTGTCAAACACCAAGATGTATTTGAACATAGCATGTTCAAGTGCTCTGTGAGGCTTCTGGCTACACTTGAGTATTTTTTTTACAACAGTGTAATTGCATTTTGCCCATTTTGTTAGTTTCTTAGTCCATTATTTAAAAAGGTACTTTACAGGCAGGTGCTGCTTGTGTTGTGCTTTGTGAAGAGTTTCAAACCATGTAACAAAAAGAAAATTTCATTTTTTTCATCCCACTTAAAAGTAAGGTAGTAAAGTAAAATAGGTTCAAAACTATTGGAACACTATCTTCGTTCCTGTTGTGTTCATGTAGTTTAACACAGAATGTGACTTTTGTAATTGGAGAAGGGGATTAATTGGGACAAATGCTAGAAATTAAGTTTAGGGTATTTGTTAACACAAAATTAAGAGTTTGGTCCCTTGGGTTGTCTGTCCACTCATCAGGAAGGAGAAGCTCTTCCAGGATGTGGTTAAGAACACCAGAGCATTGAAAGATGCTTCAGATCCCATCAGCATTTCTTCTTTTGGAGTACCACGGACTCTTTAACAGTAGTTTCTTCATGTTCAAACTTTTGATGCACGCTGTGTAATTAGCTGCCTTTGCTAAGACTTGTGGGTGAGAAAGGGTGAGGAGTGAGGTAACAAACTTCACTGCACTTTTTCATCTGGCTTGTTACATATGATTAATTTCTTAGGTCTGTGCTGTTACATATTTTCTAGATATTTATATTGTTGCCAATGAAGAAGAGCAACAGTTTGCGCTGAAGTTGCACCGGCTGGGGAGAACCTCCTTTCGCAACCTGAAAAACAAACGTGACTACCACAAGCACAGGCACAAAATGTCCTGGCTGTACTTGTCCCGGATAGCAGCAATGAAGGAGTTTGCCTACATGAAGGTAGGTGGCCACTCACACAGAGCCAGCAATGGTGGGACAGGCGGGAAGATGCTTCTCAGGCTGTCTTTTGATCACTTTGTGTTTGCAGTACTGGTAGGATTTATGCTTCATTTTTTTCTCTCCCCTCATGGATTTAAAGTATACATTTCAGAAAGTTTCAATGCATCATGCTTTGTACACTTCCCAGTGCCAAAATTAAGCTTTGCCATTAAATCACATGGAACAGATTCAGGTATCATGAGAGAATTTCAAATTAATGAGGTTATTTATGGATAGGTAATCTATATATCACCAGTTCTGCAGTTTTTCCTTCAAAATTTATTGCATAAATTAGGAAGCAGTTGTCATTTCTTAAAATTAACCTGGTTTTTATTTTACCAAGCTTTCACTTGTTGCTGTGCTGTTGAGGGAAATCTTTCAGATAAAAACTGGTGTTTTGATCTAAAAAGGCACCCTTAGTTCTGCACTGTGAGAAAATATTTCATTATACTGCTAATCTTGAATTCTGTGGTTTATTTACCTGCTTCAAAAAACCACAAATATTGTATAGTGATGAAGGATGATTGCTGAAAACTAATTATTAATAAAAACTTAGTTTTCATTTCTCCTTTTGTATTATCCAAGAGTAATATGTACATGAAATTATTTTCTTGTTCTTGTAAAATAAAGAACCATGGTTAATTGTCTCAGTGGCTTCCATGGAGAGAGAAAGAACTAACACCATCATTTAGAACCTCTGTCCAGGTGGTCCAGCTGGTAAAGCCTTATGTGATCAGAACTTGTAGGAATGTAATTGTAGGGATCAGGTTTCCTGAGCAGAGGATTGGGGAAGTTTAATTGAGTGCTGAAAAGCAGTAATACTTAAGTAATAAAAACTGTATTTATGTTGCTTTAACTTAGGACTCTCTAGAAAAGTTCACTGCTAACAACCAGAATGAGTAAAAGCAGAATGAACCCATAAAAAAGCTGAGTGGATCCAGCGAATGACTAAATTTGTGCTAGAAAATGCAAACAGGAGAGCTTCAGAATATTATGACCTATCTTTGGTTAATCTTATATGAGATGGTATACAGCTGTGTGGTATAAAGCTGATTGTTACCGTTTAGGAATGAACTTATGTAACATACACAAACATACTTGTGTTTACAGCAGCTGAGTATAGATTGACTAATCAGGCACAGGAGTATGTTGGCAGCAGCTTAGTGTGGAATTCTTTTCTAATGCTAAACACCCCATTTCCTATATCTATTACTGATTCCACAGGCTAATGTGCCAGGTATGGTTCCGTCATTTCTCCGGTTTGTTGTGATTTTCTTCCAGATGCATGGTAATTAAACTGTAGGCAGTGCACTCAGTGTCTAAACTTCTGAATTTTATTGTCTTTTTAGTGAGAGTTCCAGTGGCTGTGAGGCTCTTTTCCTTCCTAGGCGTGTGATTTGGGCAATATATGCTGCTATTGCAGTGATATATACTGCTTATCTTAGGTGCGGGTTTGTCAATATGTGTAATGTTTCCTTAACTATTTAATTTTAATTTTTCAATGTGTTATCTCTTTCCAGGCTTTGCATGACAGAGAATTTCCTGTTCCAAAGCCCATAGACTACAACAGGCATGCAGTTGTTATGGAACTTGTTGATGGATATCCTATGTAAGTAGTGAAAGCTTGAATTCCGTATGTTACATAGACCCCGACAACCTTAGGAAAAGTAACACAGGATTTTCCCTTGTTTTCTACACAGAAATTGCACATTCTATATGTTACTTCTTATATAGCATATTAATATCCCTCATGTTCTGAGCTCCACTTTGTGATCCTTGCTCTGTTAATACAGGTGAGTTTGTAACTCAGTTCTGTGCTGTTTATAACAGACTACCACTTATAATCTGGTTTTGCACCTTAGATTATTTTGCTTGAGCTTTCCAACCTCTAGGAACATTAAATATTATTGAGGTTTGTAGGTGAAGGGTTGGTTTGGTTTTGAATGCAAAAAGCCTGTCTCTTTCATACAATAACCCAGGTCTAGTCCAGAGAATTGAGGTGTCTACTTATAGAACTAACCGGTCCATTGTCTTGTATAGGGTTCAGGATTTTAAGTTTAATCAAAAGGGAATTAATTCCAAAGTAAAGCAATTGAAGAATAATGTGGAAAAGATTTCCCATCCTCATTTGTTAAATAATTCTACATCCATTGTGTAAATAGAACACTTTAAGTTCCTTATGGCAGTCTGCAGTGGAAGTTTAGTTTTTCTTCTTTTCCTAACATAATCTAGAAAATCTGATTTTGTAGAAGAAAATGCCACGGGCCATTTGAATTTCAGCGTAAGAAGATTTAGCTCCTACTGACATGATAAGATTACCTAAAACAGGAGCAACATAAAAGTTTGCTGGTCCATTATTTACATAATGCATTATGACAGGAGTGCTCAATGGGAGACAAAGAGTGAGTTCAGGTGAGGTTTAGCCTGGATATAAGGAGGTATTTTTTTCTCCTCTTGAGGACAGAGAGGCAGTGGCACAAGTTGCTTGGGAAGGTTTCTCTGTCTTTCTCCATTCCCAGAAGTTTTCTATCCCAACTAGACAGAGACCTGAGCACTGTGGTCTGGTCTCAGATTTGACCCAGCTTTCAGGAGGATGCTGGACCAGAGACCTGAGAGCCCTTTTAATTTGAATTACTCTGGCATTCTGTCAAATGTATTTCGTATACTTTATCTGTATTTTTAAATTAAGTCTTTCAAGGTTGGGATTTTTAAATTTTCCTCAACTTTTCAGGTGCCAGGTGCGCCAAATGGAAGATCCTGCTGCCGTCTACAGTGAATTAATGGATCTGATTGTAAAACTTGCCAATCATGGTCTGATCCATGGGGATTTCAATGAGTTTAATCTCATCTTGGATAATAACGACCATGCCACTTTGATTGATTTCCCTCAGATGATGTCAACATCGCATGCAAATGCTGAATGGTAGGTTTAGATCTAAAGGTGTTTCCCAGGTGAATCTGACAAATGCTGATGAAAGCAAACAGTCAACCATGACTTGTTTCCATAAGTCTTCTCCTGAATCTTTTTCTGCCAATGTTGTGATGCAGCACAAGTAATGTTCCAAACAAAGAATGAGTAGAAATGTCTCTGAAGAATAAATATGTGATTAATTGCTTCTCAGAGAGAATATTGTTTGGTTAAGTAACACTCAGAAATGAACTGTATCCAGTTTCCCTTCCTGGTCTTTTGGCTTGAGATCACTAATAGAAATAATTTTCAAATAAAACTCTGTAGGGTAAATGCTTCTTATTGCAATAGGCTTCGCTGATTTTTTCTTGTACAATTCTGTATTTTTTACAGGTATTTTAACAGAGATGTTAACTGTATTAAGGAGTTCTTCAAGAAACGCTTCAACTATGAGAGTGAGCTCTTCCCAATCTTCAAAGACATCAGGTAGAAATGACCAGATGAATTTGAGTTCTACTTATGGCACTAGTGTTGGTATTCTGGGAAAAGTGAATTCCTGTGAGAGATATCTATGGGAGAAATAAAAAAAAATAGGCCCAACTATGTAATTTTAAGTTATATTTTTTCTCATCTCTATTGTGTTTTCTTCAAAGTTTCTTCAAGTAAGTGGTTTTCAAGTGTGCTTTAAAATCCTTTGCTGCTTTCTTTGTCTTCTTGCAGTCAAGGAAGAGAAGTCAACCTGAAGCTTGATCCAAATGCTGAATGTCCAGGAAATTTTAACAGTGATGCAGAATCAGCCTGTTTGATTTTAATAGACAGTTTAACAATTCTGATATAGTGAAGATTAATTTGGGTTTCTGTTTCAAAATTATTTTTTAAATGCTTGTAAATAGAGTGGCTGCCTCCTTAGGGATTATTACATTTAAACTTTTCTTCCTGGAGTCTTTTGCTCCCTTTGAAAAGTAAACTTACTTTTCACTCATTTTAAGACCAAAACTTACACTGAAACTGTGTAAAGAGACTGAAACTGTTACAATGAACACTTTTCCTAAGGAGTTCCACACTTTAATCAGCCTTTGTATGTCAGACCCTTTATTCTTTTTGCTTAAGCATGATTTGAACTTAAACCAAAATGTTATTCCTGCTAAAGTAGAACAATTTCCTGAAAAAAACCCCCAACTATAAATGCAGGTTATGGAGATGGAATCATCTTCTGGAGGAGTTTTCTTCTCTTGGATTACATTCTAAATTAGTATTTCACCTAAAGCTCAGCACCATCATGTATTTTGTGTGCTTCAACAGTGTACCTTTTTTGCTAATAGTGGGTAATTTTAGTCTAGCTTGGTTGGCGTTTTAAACCCAAAATGTAGTATATTGGTAACTTGGCTTATTAAATTTAGCATATTAAAAGAAAACATTCCTTTTTCACAGGAGAGAGTGTTCTCTTGATAAAGAGATTGCTGCCAGCGGCTGTGCAAAGGAGATGGAGGAAGATGGTGAACTGCTTTACCCCACAGGCTCTGACGAGGATGACGGTACAGAGGTGTTAGAACTTCCAGAGGATGCTGAGAAAGAGGTCAACTTCTTCAGCAAAAATGAACAGAACAGTGAAGACTTCACATGTGAAGGGGGTGATTTCTCTGAAAGCAGAGCCTCTGACAATGCTGCAAGCAGCAGTGAGGAAGAGGCTGATGCAGCTGAAAGCAGGGAAAATACACAAAGACTAAATGTGGCAGAGTTGAGTTCAGCCTTGGAAGAAGATGAAGGGCCAGTTGTGCCTTGGAAGTCCGGTCAGGATGCAGAGAGTTCTGCAATTACTTCTGTTAAGGGCAAAAGACTAACTGAAAATGCTGCTGAACTGGAAGGTCAGGCAGGTCAAGGTGGAGGCTGTGAGGGTAAGGAGAATGAAGAAAAGTGCCCTGAGCTGGTCAACTCATCAGCTTTAAATGAGGAATTCAGTCATTACAGGTAAAGATTCACATTTACTGTCTAGAAGTCTGGCCCTTTCCTTGCCCCCAAAAATGTAAATGTGTCAAGTAGCTCAAGAAGGACTGCTCTTCAGCTGCCCTTGTTAAAACTGAAGACTAAAAATTAAATTTATTTTGAAAATATACCAGTAAATACCCTTCCTATTTTTGGTGTGGTTGTCTAGCTCTGTTGTATTTATCTAATGAGAAAACAGGTTTTGCACTTCAAAGACCAACCTGTTTTCTGTGGCGGATTTTTCCCCTTTGTCTTCATTTCAGCTAATATTGATAATGAAGGAGTTCTTGATGTTAAAATACTACTTCTAAATAACTTCCCTGAGGAAGTTTATAATTCAAATACTTTGTGTCAAAGGCAAATGTTCTGCTACTCACTCAGCTGAAGTTATCAAGAACAAGCTGCTTGGAGTGTTTACTTCAAATATATTGTACTGTATGTTGTTCTGGCTTTTAATTCCTTTCCCGACAGACTTAGAAATTCCTGCTGGCCTTCAGACTAACCCCTTGTGTGTGAAATTTTATTTCTTGAGTTTGCCGATCCACCATGTACGTGGATGCAGAGATAATACTCCTCCTTTGCTTTTGCTTTTCAGTTAAATACTGTCAAAACATTGTGCAGGATCTGAAGTGTTTTACTCCCCTGAGGTTTCCCTTCTTCTGCTCCATACTTACATGGCTGTTGTGAAACAAATTATTCTTTCACAAAGTACCTGTCTTGGACAGCCAGTTTTAATGTTTAAAACTTGCATGTTCTGTTACAAGTTCCAATTGTAGTCCAGAAATGAAGACTCAAACAGGGTGCTGGTAAAGTCAAAGGTGTGTTTATCTTGCTCATGGGGTACTACATTGATTTATGTGTTTCAGTAATGAAAAGTGTATTGTTCCCATTGCTGGGCACAGAACAAGGACTAAGAGCATCACATCAGTCAGAAGTGCTGGGAGCTGTTCAACCATTCCTCCGGTAAGTATTATTTTGTTATGTTGTCATCTAGTTTACCCTCTCACCAGCTTAAATTGCACATAGCTCTTAGATCCTGTTTCTGAAATTCTTCTCTGGCATGAATCATCTTTAAAAACAGTTGCCATCTACCTCTCCAGTATGTATCTCCATTTCCACAGAAAAATTGGACTGATACTGCTGTAACTGCTTACAGGGAATGCTTTCCAGCATTCTCCTTCATATTTTGTTTTTTGGTCTCTCACTGAAGCTCCATATCAACACTAACAACTCTCATTTACCCAGTAACTAAATTACATTAATATATGTTAATGCACTAACAGTATCAGTTCATCCATTTCTGTTGCTAGCCACAATTAATATTTTTTATTTTGAATGTGGATACTTGAGTCTAGATTTAATTTTGCCTTTCTCACCTCTCTTCTTAGAGATTTCTTCACATTCTTTTCTGAAAGATTTCTGTGAACTTGCCTTCAACAGAGATCTATTTGGAAACTGGAATTTGACCTTCTGAATTACATAAATCAGGACATTTTCAGCAGAATTTTATGTGCTTTTCTTCAACCCTAGAGCAGGTAGTAGATGATACGTCTACTTGGTATCAGGAATTTTGGAACACATGTAGGTTGTGATGGTGGGAAGACTGATGAGTCTTTACACCAGGTGCTGCAGTTGAATAGAATTTGGTGAACTTACATTAGATTGCATGTAATAATGGTATCTGTCTTGCAGAATTTATTCTAGCAGGTTTCCAGCAAGATATGACTCCACCATGATGAAATAGATGAAAATAATTTGATTTCTCTTTTTCGTCCAAGAAAAAATATGCAAATGTGCACTTGGCATCAGTGTGGCAACTTGAGCTGGGACCATGGCACAATCTACAAAAACATGGCTTTGTTTTTGTTGTGGGCAGATATTGCCATCACAATGGAGAGCAGAGCTCAGAATGAGCCACAGGTGCAAATGACATGAGATTTCATAGAACTACTCCAGTTTGTTGAAATGGGAAAACCTGGTGGAGGAATTATAAGTCACTAATTCCCCTTCTCTTTTAGCCACACTTGTGTTACAGAGTTGTTGTTTTCTGTTAGAATCAGTCATATTTTTGTAATCTAAACTTCAGAATAACCAGGGTGCTAAAAAAACAAGCACAAACCAAACAATTACTGCTGGGCATGGAATGTTCTGCAGTATAATCAGCTTTTACATTTTTGTGTAAGGCCTGTGTTCTGCACTGAGAGGTGTGGGTCCTTTAGCATCTCAGTAGGGAGCACACTTGAAGATTAACTTCAAAATTATAAAAATATTTAAAATGCTATTTGTTACAATGAAGACTGTCAGAGCACACACACAGCACTCCATGCAGACCTTGTCCATAGCAGAGAATCTGCTTTTTCAGTCAGCTGAACTGTTTTATGATTTTCTTACGAGGAAAGAACGCTGTTCATTTCTACAACAAGGTGAACATCATGAATCATGAATGTTCATGCTGGTCCTGAAAAAATTCTGACGTCATGTTATGTCATACTGCTAAATGATTTAAAGAAGTTTTGATGACAAATTGCATGTTTGTTTGTAGGAGCTGGTGAAACAGAAGATAAAGCGTCAGCTGACCAAGCAGCAGAAATCTGCTCTGAAGCAACGGCTGCAAAAAGGGGAGGCAAATATTTACACCAAACAACGTCGAGAAAATATGCACAACATTAAGTCAAGCTTGGATGCAGCCAGTTTCTGGGGATAATTTATTAAAGCTTCTATGGAACCTGAGGAATGTATACAGCTAAAAGGATCATGCTAATTTACCAATAATCTTTTTATGTAAAGGAGCAATCTCTGCTACGCAAACCAGATGTTCTTCTGGGAGTTAATAAATCTTATTCTCATTTCTGTGACTTTGGCTGGGAGGTTGTGTTTTGTGTTTCTAGTCAAAACTGTTGACTGTAATTTACATTATATCAGTAGTATTGATTAGGATTATCACAGGAATTTCCAGCAGTGTATTGTCATAACTGAATTGTGGTGTGTTGTGCAGAGGCACAAAAAGCCTTTTTCTTTAGCTGTAGATGCACAATTATTTGCATAAATGTGAAGTGGAAACAGTTTTTGCTGAGTTAGTGAGAGGTGACATTACTTTCTTTTAACTTTTCCTCCAAAACTTGGGGACTTAGTCAGATGTAAAAAAACCTGGTTTCTTTGGCTGAAATAATCATTTAGTTTGGTGTGCCTTGTCTGCTGAAAACATGAAAACAACAAAAGGTAACAATAGAAGAGACAGATACTTTTTAGTGTTGAAATTGTATAATCATATCAGAAACTGTAGCATGTTTTCTTTCTTGAAAAACTTTTTTTTTTTTTTTAATCCTGGCTGATTGAAAGCTGGAGATCATGATCATAAAATTAGTTCTCAGATGGTACAATTTAGAATTTAATCTTGGATTCACAAAGTGGAGAATTCCTTTTATTATTTGACTGCTGGGAGCACACATGACATGCAGACTTAGGCATGTGTGTGAAAAGATGTCCCCTCTCCATGTTAGAGTTGAGTATAATGCATCATAAGCAGAGTAAAGCTATCTTTTTATCTCCTTTAAAAAACACAGTGTGAGTGTGATACTAAGAACAAGTGGCTTTTCTTGTTCTTTCTGCCTAGAGCATCATTTCACTTAATTTAAATTGACATATCTTAGCTAGTGAAAACTTTTGTAGTGTTATTATCTTGTGATATAAAGCAATACAAATGTTTTTTTAAACTACAGATTTTCACACTAGTTGAACAGAAATAACTTTCTTCTGTTTCGTTTTCAGAAACAGTAACTTCTAAAGGAGTAGTTTTCCTCTGCTGGAATTGTAATTTTTTTTTTTTTTTAATATAAATGGCATTCACCCCAAAGGTATGATTTTATTTCTCGATAGTGTTATGCTTTTGCAATACCCTTCTGGCTGCATTGCCAGTCCTCCACCTGAAGTTACTCTGCTCATTGTCTTAACTCAAACCTATAACTGACCCAAAGCCATAGTGACTTGTGATAGAAGCCTGTTTCTAAAATACAACACAATAATAACAAGCAATATTTTTTCAGTACTTTCTGTTAAGATTTTGTTGGTACTTTAATAATGCAACTCTGTGTTGCCTTTCATTCTGTCTCTTCTCACACTTTACACTTCCAGAATTTAAAAAAAAAAGAAAAATATAGGAAGATGTATAGAAAAGAAGTAAAAGAAACCTAACATGGACACTTGTAACAAATCCAGTTTTATTGCTATCTCGTGGAACAATTTCTATTTCTTTCAGCTGGTTTAACTAAGGCCTCCCATGGAGGAAAGGAAAATGGGACATCCTTTTTGCTTCAATATTTTATTTTTAGTAATAAATGCAGGATTTTGGTATAGCTTGGTATAAAAATTTTAGAAAAAAAGCAATACAGCAGTGTTACATGGGGTCAAAAAACTCTGCAACAATCAGCTAAAATAAAAAGTTGAGGAGGGAGTTATGCTGAACAGACAAATTGGGACTGAGGTACTCACTATTGAGCTGCAAGGAAATATAAAGTCTTAGTATTTCTGTGTCAAACTGATCCTGGTTGAGAAAGACTGGGTGGAGATAATAATAATTCCATCAGAAGGGGAAAAGGATGGTAGATCTGTGAGTTGTACATAGAAGCTGCAACAATGCTAGAAAGCATGACTGCACAGAGGGAAACTGCAAGACAAAGGGTTTGTGATGGATCTCAGGCAAGGGCAAGTGGGGATGCTAAAAAAAAACTGACAAGTGAGGACTATTAGGAATTCAATAAATAGTTGTTCTTTTGTCATATTCAATGCCTAATGACAAGCTCATTCTATACCACTTCCCACCTGCTTGTACTTCTGTTAAAACAGCCTGACAGCAGTTTAAATCAGCAGATCTATTTTGGAACAGCACTGAAGACGAAAAGCACATGGCAAACCAGTACTAGAGTGCAATATTTGTATCTGCAGGCAGTTTTTGCAGGTGGCAGCAGTCCTTGGCAATGAAAAGAGAAATGACACTGAAACGCAGGGCATGCAGGAACCGTAAGGAATTCAACAGGAAGGCAGGTCCTTGCAGAGAGGTGTCTGCTCAAAAATGACAGTAAGGCCCAGAGAGGTCGTGCAGACTCCGTTCTTGAAGGGTTACAAGACCAGGCAAAGACCTCAGTGACCTGGCCTACCCTTGTCGCTCATCCTGCTCTAAGGAGAAGATTGAAATAAATGACCTTCTGAGGTCTATCCCAACCCGAATTTCCTAAGATTCTTCCCAGTGAGTTCTGATTTTCACATTTCCCTTTCCCTGACTCCTTTCCAAGGCAGAAACTGATGTTACTCAAATTATGCATAATCATATCCTAATCCACCATATAATTCCCTAAGGAATTAATTTCAAAATTTAGTTTAAATTATGCATGTGGTGTGATACATCTTGAGAAAAGACTTGGAACTATTTAGAGGACATTATAACTGCTTACAACATAAACTACAAATACACTGTATATTGTAGTTTGTTTGTTAGGGTTTTTTACCCTTTTTCCTTGTCCAAACAAATATAGAAAGTCAGTAAAATTATGACAGATAACCAGAACATACAGAATGAGAGCACGGATACAAGGAAATGTGCTCATCAGACTAAGAACTTACAGAGGGAGCCAAAACAGAGGAATAGATGAGAAGCAGGACACAATCTTCAAAATGTGAGAGAAAAAGATGAATACTAACAAAGGCATGCCTAGAGCACTTAAGACAACAAAACAATCTCCACAGAAAGAATTTTAAGAACATTACAGAACTACATAAAATGTATTAAAAAAACCCCAAACAATTAACTTGTAGAATTGCGATATCTTTTTGAGGAACCACCAGCACTCTGCCTTCAGGAGAGATCCTTCTCCATCCACAGATTCAGCTGCTGTCTAGAAGCGCTCAAAGACAAGTGATCCATGGAAAAGGAGAGCTTGCTGTTACATCCCATTTGTCTGCCTCTTTATACCCCTTCCAACTTGAATGACAGCACAAAACAGCTTTGAAAAAATGAGCATAATATCCCTTACATTAACACTGTAAATACAATTGTTTACATTAGTGTCACTTAGAAATAACACTCTTTTTCTTCAATTACGAGAATACTTTGATTCAGTTCTATTACGAAAAAGTCACCTCTGAAGACTTACGGTTTGTATCAGTGAGTTTATTTCACATCTAAAACTGTCAGAAAATTCACTTTCATATTTATTTTGCCCTGCTAATAATAAAAAGTATTTGGTATTTTAGAAAAATCAACATCCTTGTGGAAGATTTGTAAAGAAAATGACCTTGTTAAAGTAACTTCTAAGTTTATTATGAAGGAAGATGGATCAGTTAAGGGATCTAACTGGGCTGACTGCTGGCTAAAGCTCCAAAGCATTTTCTCAACCAACTGGACTAAGTTTGGGTGAATGGAAAGAGGAAAAAGGCACAGACAGAACATTTTATCATCAGCATCCACACACTGGTAAAATACATAAAAAATTGAAGGCAGAGTAGGTTCTCAAATTGCACTGTAATGAACAACATGTACATTTTCTTCAGTGGCACACTGCTCCAGACCAAACCAGGACCATGCATATTCCCATAAACGCCTCTGATGATCATAACTCTCTCACATAGTAGCAACTTTTAGCAGGCCGGAGCAAGCAGCTCTCCAAGAATAAACACAAGATGTAAGTCTTTAGTTTAAGAAACAGAGACAACCATAATCAACTGGAAAACTTTTATTTAAGCAACAAGGTAAAATTAAAAATTATTTTACCAAGCAGACTTTGTGCGGGAAGAGTCAAACAGCAGTGAGACAAATAGCAGAATTAAGGAGCAAAAACTGTAGGAAGTGACAGCCTTCTCCAAACTTGGTTCCACTTTGTGTAAGTAACTGCAAAACCAGCACCCAAAAAAACCCTCAGTAATATGCCCATGTCCACTGCAGAGCCATTTTTGTTAATAAAAGTAATTTCCCAACACTCAAAGTCCACGTTAGATATCGTGCATCTCTCTCACCTACCTGGTAAGCTTGCACAGAAGCACTGCTACTAGCCTCCATCAAGAAGAGAACAATTTCACTATTAACACCTCAGAAGCAAAAGCCATAGTCTGTGGAACCATCATCATGGGCTTCTGACACTGGTGTGGTGCTGTCCTCTGAATTACTTATTTATCTTTGGTTTCATGTCTCTTACCACAAGAGCTACAGCACATGCACTCAGCGGGGACTGTGAAAAAATTTAGGAAAGGAAGACCTCCTTGCTTTCCAGGTTATCCAAAGATGTACTGGGCCCAGAGGAGTCTACATCTTCCACTCCTTAGTCTGTCTGAGTTCCGGGGAGATCTTCACGGATAATATTGTACAGTGAACAGTGCAGCACTCTATGTCTGCTTTAGAACTCTCACGAACACAGATGCACAGAAGGTGCACAATCAAGAGTGGGCACATTCCCAATTTCAGAGGCATAAACAGTGTGGTTTACTGATCACTGTGACAGAATAAGGGTCATAAACTATCCTTGATAAATACACTGATATGAGAAACCACAAGCTGTAGAATCCCCTTGGAATAAGTTACCTGACAGGCACCCCTGTGGAAAAGCAGCAGGTTACAGCCCATCAGCCATCCCAGGATACACAGAGCAAGTCTCCTCTGACCCCCTCCCCTCCTATGCTGTACTTGTAGTTTTCTTTGGGCGTGGGGGAAAGACAAAGTTCCAGCTGATGTAATTTCATTACGTGGAAATTGAGTGATTTTAGTTCACACATGTAAAGCATGTAGAGGTTTTACTTCATTAGCATATGCAGTATGAAAAGTTTTATGTATTTTCAAGACAATAAAACAAAATTCAGCTTTTGGTGACTGGTTGGGCCCTTCTTTGGCTTAGCTCCCACTGGCTACATTGTTTTAAACAGAGCATGGCCACACCACCTCCATGCCACTCCATCCTTTGTTTCCTGCTTCCCTCAGGGCAGCACACCAGGCTTCCTCAGTGTCCCTGCTCCTGCGGCTGCAGACTTCTTGTTTCTGTTGAACTATTGCCACCATGGACTTCTCTTTGCTCAGACTTGTCTTTTAATATTTCTCCACAAGGACTGAAATAAAATGTTAGCTTATGGCACCTGTACTCTAAAGCTACAGAAAACGTATGTGAAGACTGCACCACGACCAGATGGCATTGTTGTGTGGGCAGTGACAATAGTCAAAAATTGCAGTGGTGAGAGAATACGCCTCCACAAGATGTGTACTTGCAAAGTGTCTTACCTGGAGAGTTCTCTAAGAATGCACACTATTCAACATAAACATAATCAAAAAAAGGGAAAAGAACTAGTTCTCCTCTGACCAGAAAGCACAGAACAGCCTACAAGCATGCTAGGAGACAACAAAATTTCACTCCACTTTATAAGAGAATAGTCTCCATCCAAAAGAATCACATTAGCAACACACTGGAAGTCTTTAAAAGCCTCTGGACACAACCTTGAGTAATGTGCTCTACAGGACTCTGCTTAAAGCAGGGAGGCTGGACTTGATGACATCCAGTGATCCCTTCCAACCTCACCCATTCCGTGATAATAAACAGCAAGTCCAAATCCCTTCTTACAGTTCCTGTTACATTATTTTCCTGTTGGCTTTCAAACCACGTTGTTCACATTGCTCTCATGCTCACAACTGCATGAGAAAGAGGGGGGAAAACACAACAAAACACAAAGAGCAACCTTTTTAGGCATCTCCTCAGTATTTATGTGTATTACTTTGCATAATCTCAAGTGTTTTCTGGATGCTGAGATTGGTTTATTCACTATGCAAATGAAGAAGCTCCTTCTGCAGGTATTTCATGACAAAGCTATTCCCAACAATTCCAAAAAGTTCCTACTTGGTACATAGTAGGACTCACTAATTCTAAGGTCTTCAGCTGGGCAAGAAGGTCAAGGATCTCACAGGGTTTTTTTAACATCACTACACCTTCAGCTGCACTAGCAAGTCTGGGGTTTTCCAAACAGTGCAAGGAGTACTTGGCTTAAGCAGCAACTTCACAAGGTTTCTCAAAATGTTTATAGAAGATCCTCTGTACCCTGAACCAAAATGGTTCCAGTGGTTCATGTAGTGAAAAAGCTGATAAAGCTTCAGGCCTTTCTCAAACCCTGCGGCTCTGGGGATTTTACTGTGATAAACAGAATAAAAAGAACTGCTGAAGCCACCAAACATCCCAGCTATTGCAAGATCATACTCTCAATGGCTGTAGAAAGAAGATGGATCAAAGATAACTGGACCAGAATCATCCTCAGCTACATTTCCTCCCCAGAGATCCCCATGCAGGAGAGAAGGAATGATTTCTACACCACAGAAAAAACTGGGTACCTTCAGCTGCAGTGGGGGAGAAGCAAGACATGTAAATTACTACAGTCATTCACCTTAAAATGTAGAGGTTTATCTGCATACCTCAAACTTTTTAAAAGTCAGTTAAATAAACCTGTAACTTCAGACAGCACAGGACCAAGTTAACAGAGATGCTGAGCAAATCCAGAGGATTCCTGTTTTTCATAAAAGCTAGCAGCAGAACAGTCAATCAAATCTCTTTTAGGAAGACAATAAAGAATTCAAAACTGCATTTGGTGCTGTAATATTGACCAGATTTAATAACAACAGCTACCACCATTTTGGCATTAGAAGGCTCAGGCATCTCTCAGCAACCTTGACAAAGTACCCAAAGAGCCAAAACTGCAGTCACTTAACCAGATGCAAACAGAAAATCAACAATGTGCAGAACAGTACTGCTTATGTATGTTTCCCATCATGGAAGTGTTCCAGGGAGTGAGAAATATGATCTCCATCTGTAAGATTTCCCAAATAGTAAGGCAAAGTGCTGGCACTTTGGAATTCACTCTGGAATGCCAGCAGAGGATGATGTGGCAAAAGCCATTACACCTTAGAAAAAAGGGCCTTTTGGTCCCTTAAAACTGGAGTCTCCTACCGACAGAACATGGTGCACAACAACAAACAGGAACTTTGTTTTAAGAAAATAAAATCTAGATAACTGATACCCAGCTGTCACTGTAATGAGAACTGAGAGAATTGCTTGTACCTGAAGCTGTGCCCAAAGTTCCCTTGCTTCCCTGTCTCCTGAGCTCCTTTCAATTGGGTCGATCTGGGGCTGGATCTTTTCTCTGGCAAAGAAACTCACCCAGCCACTGTGCCAGTTCTTCACCTGAAGGACCAGGACTGCAGATGTCAGTTCTACACACACAAAAGGCAAATTTGCTTCTTTTTCAAATAAACCTTTTGAGGATCACACAGCCTTTATGCTGGTACCATCCAGGACAGTAAGTGCTACTATTCAATTGAATGTTATCTTAAAATGTTAAATTGGAGGAATAAATAATTTTCTCTCAGTGATTAAAACCCAAAAAATTGAAGAAACGTCAGTATCCAATGCAGCTACAAGTGCTGTCCAAAGCACTACTTTTCTTAGCAGGACAAACCATGCTTTTTCTTATTCATGGCTCCACAAAAATTAATTTATTTACATTATGATAATTTTGACCCTTTTTTGTCACCAAAGGAAAAATGAGGCAAACTTAAAATTCTATCAGTCTGATGAAATACAACCTACCTGTGGAAGATAACCACAGCAGGTAACTGTATGAAAGCCAAACTGATCCACAAACTGGACTTCCATTTGCTCCTGTCCTTTACCTTTCAAACCAAAGAAAAAAAATTCAACACCAATGACAAAATACTGAGCATCCACAATGCAAACAAATCTTAAAACTATGCAAGGGTACAATGCTGCTTCCATTGAGAATAAAAAAAGTTGCACTTTAATGTTCTTTTTGATACAATGGGTGCTGCTGCTGGTTTTTAAATTTAAAGCTCGGTGTAAAGCAGCCATGTTATACTCTTTATTTTTGTATTTTGAGGTACTGTATCTCTTCTGATACCATGTCCTTATAGAGATTGTGGTTCAGGTTCCCAAATTGAATTGATCACAGAGATCCACACAGGGCAAACAAAAGCAAAAAGAAGAACACCCCCACCTGTGTGTTTCATCCCAACCTATTCTCATACTATCTTTAGTGGAAGAAGACGTACCTGTCCTGAAGTGGCAACAGCTATTTTAATTATTTTGTCAATTATTATTCATTAGGTTAATTTTGCAAACAGCTGTGTACTGTGCCAGCTGGGCTCCCTTCTTTCTTCATCTTCTCTCTAAGTTGCTGATTATGAAGGTGAAGATCAGCTAGCTGAGTTCCAAGCAGTGCTGAATGTCTAAGAAACAAAAATAATGTTAGCAGCTCTGACCCATGAATGAATCCAGGTCTTGATATTCCAGGAGTTACTTGAAAATGTCTATCAAGCAAGTAACAGTTCTTCATCTCTAACAAAATAGGTTCCCAAAATATTCCAGTATTATAAGCACTTTGTCTTCCTATCAAAACTGCATATTAATATAGATAAAATGTACTTGGTTGTTTCTGACACCACTATTGAAAGTGAAATCATAAATTTACTAACAATGATAAACTATCAGTTCTAATTCCTGTGTGATATCACTTCCCTAAGCATTTTCACTAAAGTATGTGTAAGAAAGCGCGCACATAATGTGGAAAATGTTATGCCTTTTTTTATATTATTATTATTTCCTCTGGCAAACTGGTTTTGGAAAATAGAACCAAACAAGGCTGATCCTCTTCCTTCTATCACTGTCTCTGGCTGCTCTTCTCTAAAAGGTCTCGAAGATGGGTGTCAGGTAGGCCTAGTTTAATATCTATTTTTAATAAAAGCTGATCCTCTACAAAGTTTGGGAAAGTCTTGTAGTAATTGCAAACAACCCTTACAGCCAGTTGCCCCCCATGTTAACAAAATTATGTTCCTTTTCCTTTTCTTGACCTTTCTGAACTTTCTGTATTCTAAAGGCACTGCCATTTAAAGCAAATTTAGTTCTTCATTTTATTCCTGTTAACACAGATAGTAGCTATCCCCCAGAATCTGCACCCCAAAGGTACCATTTGAAATCCAAACCAGCGAGATCTCTGCCCTTTCTCTTGGGACTCACTGAGAGCTCTTCATGGATCAAACCCTGGCAATGAGCAGGATGAGGGACAAGACTTAAAACTGGCTACAGAAGTTCTGAAAATGAGAAAAGAAATTGGTCATGATCCCCAGTGGAATCAGATGGGATTCATCATATTAAGAGCTACTCACAGAGAAGGGTCAAAAGTTTGAAACTATCAAAATGAAGGCTAAGAGTTGCAAAAATATTGAAATCAAGATTAATTCATTTGGGAAAGTGCCTCTGCATACTCATGGCAAACATTACAGCACTGGTTCTTATATCAAAGGCAAGTACACAAAACAGGTGACCAGGTTGGTAATTTTCCCTAATGTAAAAAGGAACCTTATTGTAAAAACCACTAATTACCTAAACAAACAAGCCAAAAGTAACCAAAACCCAGAGTTACTTCTTGATGTGTTATCAGTTTGCTAGGTGAGGCATTATAAGTATTTCATACAGTTCTCTGCTGTAAAACTTCTTGTATGTCCCTTGACATGCTTTATAAAAAATTTAAACAAGTTCCTCCTATGAAAGCAAGTGATTTCATTGTCATAATAGCCAAAATTTCTGGTCAAGGGAAGCAAAATTAACTGTTTTACCTGTGTAAGCTCTTCATTCCAAACGTTCCATCACCAGCACAGTACTGTCCCCAGGCAGTTCTACAACCTTGATGGGTTTAGGCACTCTTACTGTCTGCGTTTTCAGGATGGCTTCCAAACTTGCCATTTCTCTCAGAAACATTCTCCTGGCCTGCCAGATAATAAAGAAAAGCATTAGTCTCTATAAGCATCAGTCACAGGTAAAATAAAGGAAAATATAAAATAATAAAAGTTTAGAGCAAATATTTATTGATGCACAAGATACAGACAGAATTGTACTATCTGGCTTGATAATTTTACAGTTGCAGAAATTTTAATTTGTAAAACAAAGGTTCTAGCATTGTCTATTAACTTAGAAACTCTGTTTACAGTTGAAGGAGAGCAAACCGCATGCACACAAAATATGTGCAATATTCTATTAATACAGCAAATGTCTAGGAAGCCATGGACAATATACACCATCAGCTGGCAGGCTAGAAGAATGGTGCTGACATTCACAGACACCATGACTGTCCAGACCAAGAAACAGAGTCAAGCTTCAAACACAGCTCTAAAAGCAACCACAGAGCACAGAACCATGCAATTGTTAAGGTTGAAAAAGCCCTCTAAGATCCCTGAGTCTAACCACTAACCCAGCACTGCCCTGGGCACTCTGTCAGTGCCTGACAACCCTGTGTATGAAGAAATTTTCTCCAACATCCAATCTAAACCTCCCCTGACACAACTTGAGGTTGCTTCTCACTTACTCCCTGGGAGCAGAGCCTGATCCTGCACCCTTCTATCAGGGGGTTGTGCGGAACCACCAGGTTCCCCCTGAGCCTCCTTTTCTCCAGTCTAAGCCCCTCTCCCAGCTCCCTCAGCCGTTCCTGGCGCTCCAGCCCGTTCCCCAGCTCCATTCCCTTCTCGGGACATCCTCCAGCCCCTCCATGCCTTTCGTGTCATGAGACGCCCAAAAATGCCCCAGGATTCGAGGTGTGGGCACATCAGTGCCCAGCACAGGGGACAGTCACCGCCCTGGTCCCGCTGCCACACTTGGACCGGCACAACCCAGGAATGCCGCTCCTCACCGCGGCGCCCGGCCAGCCCCGGCGCCCCCGATGCCCACGCTGCCACACCTCCCCCTCGCAGTTGCTCTTCACGAACACCCGGCCGCGGTCCGTGTCGTAGCTCCGGCCCAGGCTGGTGCAGACGCCGCCCAAGTGCCCGGTCGGCCGCAGCACCTCGGTGCCCAGAGGTCGCTTTTGCGCGTCCTCCATGGCGGCCGCTGTGAGGGGAGCCACGGCCCGGAAAAGAAATAAAGGCGCGGGGAAAGGCGGGGCGAGAAGGGGCGGGCAAGGGGCAGCTGCGGCAGAGAAAGGGGGTTTGAGGGGGCAAAGGAGTCGGAAGGGCGTCAAAGGGCGGCTTAAGTCAGAGAAAGGGTGGCAGGAGCGGCTGACGCCGCTAAAGGGGCCGGGCTGATGAGCCGGTCGCTGCTGTCAAAGGGCCCTCTCGCTCCTCATATGCCAGTTTCAGTTCACGTGTTCAGTTTTGTTTTTGTGCTCATGACAGAATCAATTACAGAATCGCAGAACGTTCTGAGTTGGAAGGGACCCACAAGGTTCATCGAGTCCGACTCCTGCCCCTACAGAACGCTCCAGCAATCACGTTGTGTGCCTGAGAGCGTTGTCCCAATGTGCACCTTGAGCTCTGTCAGGCTGTCAGGCTGTGACCACTTCCCTGGGGAACCTGTTCCAGTGCACAAACACCTTCTGGGGGAAGAAGTTTTTCCAAATATCCAACCTAAACCTCCCCTGATACAATTTCAGGTCCCCTTGGGTCCTGTCACTGGGCACTACAGAGCAGAGATCAGGGTCTGTCCCTTCACTTCCCACTCAAAGTTGAATACAGCAATGAGATCAAGTCCAGCCTGTGATCACACACCACCTTGTCAACCAGACCATGCCACTGGTGTGCCATGTTCCTTAAAGATTTCCAGGGACACTGACTTCAGCACCTCCCTGGGCAGCCCCTTCCAGTGTTTAATCACCCTTTCTGGAAAGAAATGCCTCATAATGTCCAGCCTAAACCTCTGCTGCTGCAGCTTAAGACTGTATCCTCTCATCTTGTCCCCTGTTCCCTGGGAGCAGAGTCTGACTCTCCTGTCAGGGAGTTGCAGAGAGCCAGAAAGTCCCCCTGAGCCTCCTTTTCTCCAGGCTAAACCCCCCAGCTCCCTCAGCTGCTCCTCACTGAGCTTGTGCTCCAGGCCTTCACCCATCTGTTGGCTTGGTGGGTTTCCTGGGTAGGTGGCCACGAGCTGGTGATCACAATTTCCCCTGGCACAATTACACTTTACCGAGTTGGATGAGTTGCCCTTATTTTGTTCCTCGTAATCTGGCCTTGTCTTGGCTGTTTGGCCATGTGTCCTTGATTTGAAGAAGTCAGCATTCTGTTATGCCTGATTTTAGTTTACCTCAATTTACTTGCTTTTATTATTTTTCTGTACCTTCTGCAACTGCTGAGACATGTTAAACATAACTTACTTATCTGGAAGCCTGATGGTTCATCACAATCAAGTCCTTGATTTCTGCCCCGAGATTTAGTTTAGTTAGTCTGTCCCAAGGATGGAGCTTCTCTGCTATGGAGATAGGTGGCGAGAGCTGGTGGGGCTCAGTCTGGAGAAGGGAAGGCTTCAGGGAGACCTTTGAGCCTCTTTCAGAGCCTAGAGGGACTCCAAGAGAGCTGGAGAGAGACCAGACGAAGTCTGGAGTGACTGGACAAGGGGTGATGTCTTCAGGCTGGAAGAGGGCAGGTTTAAATTGCATATTGGGAAGAAATTCTTCCCTGTGAGAGAGGTGAGGCCCTGGAATAGGGTGCTCAGAGAAGCTGTGGCTGCCTCATCCCTGGAAGTGCCCAAGGCCAAGCTGGACAGGGCTTGAAGCAATCTGCTTTTGGAAGCTGTCCCTGCCCATGGCAGGGGGATGGAATGATATGGTGTTTAACCCCCTTTCAACCCAAACTGTTCATGGATTCAATGAAAGCAAAGATCCACAGAGAGCTCTGCCTAGCACTGCCATTCCTTGTGTCTCCTTTGACAGCTTTCAGGCATTGCAAGTCTTTTCATTTTGAGGACATGTCCCACTCCATCCTTCCGTGGTGTTGGTGAGGATGGAGGAGCAAGAGTGGGAAAAAGTGATGGGAGCAGTAACTGGGAATAATGATGTGTACTTGAGAAAAGAAACCATCAATAAAAGTTTTTTTAAAAGATTCATGCTCTGTGCAAATGAGATATATATCTTCTGCAAATGAAGGATAACCTTCTGTTTATACTCATTTACTTCCCATTATATTTTCCACAGTATTGCTGAAACTGGCAGAAGTTTTAGATTGTCAAAGTTTATGCTCTCAAAACACAAGATGTTCAAAGCCTATTTTGATTTTTCAGACAAGTGATGCAGTTAAGCTGTATCCCATCACTGAGCAGAACTGCATGCCAGAAAGACCAAAGCCAGGTTTCCTGTTGATCATGTGGAATGTCTTGAGCTGGAGTCAGTTCTCTGCACTGGCTTGATGGTGGAGAAAAAAGAGCAGAAACATGCAGTTTGATCACTGAGGATTTACAGCAGCGAGGATCAAGGATTAGTGAGATCCCGTGAGGAGCTCACCTGTCTACAGTGCCTGCAGCATTGAAGTGGTGATGGGGTGGAATCCTGACGGAATAGCACTGGATTTCCAGCACCCTCTGAAGCAGCACACTTACTCAAATGGGCCAGAACAAATCCTCTCCTGTTCACCAGCACGTCTTTCCTGTTTCTCTGCCTGCACGTGACAGCAGCACTCCTGCACACTTTATCAGCCACCCCAGCCGTCATGTCACCACGGGCAATGTTTGTGTATCTGCGCGAGCGGGTCAGGTCTACACGGCAGGCAGTAACACCATCACAAGCCCTGCTTCAGTGGGCTCCCAGCATTTGCTGAACAGCAATGTCCAGTCCAGGTACACAAGAGAGATGCAGATTCACAGTACCGTTTTGCAGCACACAGGCTGTTGTGGACACTCACTAGGCTTCAGAAACACTCAGTGCAAGTGGAGCAAAACCTCCCATTAAAGCCCTGTCTGGTCCAACAATGAACTGCAGAGCTGGACCTCTGCAGCAGCACTGACTTCCAGCTGCAGGGTAGGCACAGCCTGTAACCCAGAGGTGCAGGCAAGTACAGGTCAGTGCTATGAAAGAGGGGCGAAGAAAATAAGCCATGCAGGGTCTCAGTGACACAGACACAGGGCTATGAACGGGCACACACACAGAGGCGCTGTGTCCCAAGTGACAGCTCACGTCAGACGTAGGCACGTGGCTTACATACAGGGCACAGAACTGCCAGAATGGGTCCCAGCATGGAGAACTGCCTGTCTTCTCAAAGAGAAACATTTTCTGGTTCACAGTGACACACAACAGGGTAATTTGATGCTGGAGATGAAGTCTGGTAGCCATACGACCAAAATCTTGTCAAAAGCACCAAAAAAAAAAAAAAATTTGAAAACATAATCTTTTCACTTGGCATCATTATGAAATGACAAATGCAGTGAGACACTCAAAGATTTGGCTCAGTTTTGACCAAATAATCTGTCCTTTCACAGGACAAAGTAAGCAATAATTTACATTGAAATAAACTAAAAAGCTGCATGAAATGAAAGTTTCTGCTATTTGGTAATCACAGTAGTTTATCGTTATAGACATGTCATCTTTGTCATATTTATAGCACCCAGGGCAAAAATCTTTCAGTAAGTATTTAATGTAAAAAATACCCTCTTTTTCCTCTCTCTTTTCAAAAAATACTTGATAGTAGCATATAAATAGATACTAACATGTTTAAGTTATAATCTTGCCCAAAACCTAGATATATTTCATTTTTGTAAAACATTCATTTTTCCCAATATTATTAAAGCGGAACTACGAGATTGTTAAATGCTCTTATCTTCCACAATGGAAGTAGCAATTGTATAGGAAAAACCTACAGCTACCAGCAAATACTTTTAGCCATCACTGCAATGGGGGCTGAAGTTGCAGGGCTGAGTTTCTGCCTCTTTAACCCTCCAAAACAAGGTGATTTCTTGTTCTTTTCTGCAAATTTCTAGTCCTTCTATCACTCCAGGCAAATAGTTTGCATTAACAAGAAAGAAGAGAAAACAGACTTAGACTTATCCTAAAGTATTTCAATTTCCTACAATATTTTTCTTAAAATGTGCACAACTTCACAAGAGAATTACTGTATCTCCAGTGTCTACTGATAAATTTATTTAAATGCACAAAACCTAAGCCTTGAAAAAGACATGAAAAAAAGCAGCTTCAAATATGGTACAAGCAATAACAACAAAAGTAGTTACAATACTGAAATTTCTTTAATATTAAAGTTTGACACTAATTTACATAATCTTAAATAGTTAAGTTACAATTCAATAAAAGCATACATAATCTTACAGGCATTAATCCTAAATTTTAAGTAAATAAGCTACACTTGATAGACTGGCTGGCTGAAGCAGACAGCTGGTGCCACGACTCCACTTCCAATGATTGTCCAGTTCCTGTGTGAATCTCTTCATGTGGACAGCTGTTGTGGAGATACTGGCATCTATTCTTCACCTCAGAGTAGCTGTGGCCAAACTATGAAGGAGAGATAAAATTAGGGCATGCAAACATTTCTGCAGAGTTGAGAATTTCATGTTCTTTGCTTTAAAGCAGCCTTGAGCAAGACTCAGAGTTTACTCCCTCCCAGAGACTGTTTTGTCTTCTGATACTCTAAGACTTTTCTAAGAAGCATCTTCAGGACAAAAAAACCCTATGAAGTCAATATGAAGAGCATTTCCACAGTACAGAAAATGTAAACTTATGTAAAACACTACAGATATACTAAATTTGACACAAGGTGTTTCCTTCTCTGTGAGCCACTATTCTTCTGCTTTGCAAAAACAAATCTCAACCCCCTGTGTCACCCAAGATCTGCAGTTAAACCTTTCAATAGACATTAAAACCAGCTCACGCTTTAAGGCTCTCTTTGGGATGTATCTCATGCTGCTGCACATCCACAGGCAGCTCAATCAGGCGAAATCTGAGGGCTGAACAACTTTTTTGGCTTGGTTTTGCAAAAATCTGAGGCAGCCCATGCAGCATCTGAGGGTATATGCCAATTCCACAAGGTTTCCCTTTGTTCTGCTGGAGCCAAGCCTGGGACTCTGCCTTGCACAGTTGCAGACCTGAGAGTGTGGCTGTGGCACAGGGCTGGCAATGAAAATAAGGCAAAAAAAGAGTATTGTACGGAGATCCAGTTCTAAAGTTGGGAAGAATGGTGTGATGGCATATTCCAGGTGGAACTGGTACTCAGGAACACCCACCACTTCAGGGTGTTCAGAGACCGTGAGACC